TAAACTAGAGGAAATAAACTCAGCAAGCAAAGAAAATCTGAAGTCCAACAAATCCATACCACAAAATATCCTGGAAATATGGGACACCATGAAAAGACCAACCTAAGGATAATAGGTATAGAAGAAGGTAATGAAACCCGACTAGAAGGTGCGGAAAACATACTCAACAAAATCATGGAAGAAAATTTTGCCTGCTTAAGAAAGACATGTCAATGAAAGTACAAAAAACTTACAAAACGTCAAATAGAGTGGACCAAAAAGAAAGTCCCCTCGTCACATAATAATTAAAACACCATTGTTTTAATTGGGGTGATACTGTCATTCAATGAAAGGCAGTTTTTTGGAAGTAGTGATGTAGGTGACACAATCACATGAGGCTTCCAATCAAATGTTCATACATCGTGTGGCATCAGCAGTGATTATTAATAAATGGATATAGGGATGAGTGGAAGAGACATGGAGAACAAAGCTGCATCCCAACACAATGGTCACTTCTTAGCTTTATCCTTCTACATTTTCAAACAGTTTGGGGAAAGGTATTGTTTTTCACCTGTCTGGTTGGAAATGTGCCTCTCTGGACAAAACACACAAGAAAAACAGCAGGCAGGTCTTCCTTCTTCTGTAAGTTTCCAGAAACCAGGACCACAGCTCTCTGAACATACAGATTGAGGATTCTGAGGGACACACAGAAAAACTCTTCATAAATTTGCACATCAGTCACAGGCTTGAATATTTTTAAGCTAAACAATTTAAACTTCACATAGACTATCAAAGTTGTATACAGTTATGTGGCACTATGAATTCTCTATATGGAGTGTAGAGTGGCTGGTGGCACACTTCCAGATACTAAACTAAAATTTCAAAGTGTCTTTATGGTGAGTAAACTGTGCTTGACTTCTGCTAGCTTTTGTGAAATGTCTTTAACAACTGAATATTCCCTCCTGGGAAACAGCAAGCCAGAACTCCTTCCTCCTATGAATTGTGGAACAGTTGAAGTGAGGCAGAAACCAAGTCACTCTTGCTTATCTGTTTCTATATTTTCCTTCCCCAGCCTGTAGTCACTATCATTCACTCTGATTCACTTTCCTTGGAAGAGGGTTTGGAAATTGTGGATAGTCACATCTACTCTTGACTCTATCACATGTAGATTTTCTGTAGACACTGAATTATGATTCATTACTGTTAGTTTCACCTTTGACTCCCCATGCTCAGAATAGTGCCTTGCTTTTTCTTCCAAATGTTAGTGATGTCATCATTTAGGAATATATCAATTGGCTCCTTAGCTAATAATATTAGCCAGTATACTTCTAACACAACCTCAGCTTGTTAATACTTTCAGAAAGTTTGAATGCTAGGAAAAATTCTATCCTTCCCTTTGGCATGTTTTTTGCCATAAGTTAGACTCTGTTTCACTCTTATAAATATCTCTATATGAACAGGTATATAGGACTGTAGAACTGGCTCAGCAGTTAAGAGTGTATACTGCTCTCACAGAGAAACCCGAACTCTCCTCCCAGCACTAAAATCAGGCAGTTCACAAACATCGGTTATACAGATGATTTGTATAATAATCCATAATTTATTTTGTTACAAGGACTATGGACATGGATGTGTATGGGTTGTGTTAAAAGAGGGATGAAATGAGATCAGCATACATGTATAATAATCTTGTGTATATGTATATTCACAATTGTGTGCCTGTATAAGAACACAGAAACACACACTAGTATATAAATTCATGAACACTGATTTTTCATTCACTGCAGCATGAATGAACACACATAAATTCAAATTCAATTCACCAATTCTATCTACAGGAATTAGCTAACAATATGTGTTTTCTTTTGTATATATATATATATATATATGTATATATGTATATATGTATATATGTATATATGTATATATGTATGTGTACATATATGTATACATGCATATGTATGTATATATACTTGTGTATATATATGTTATATATATATATATATATCAAAGTGAAATTCAAAAGATTGATTTATTTCAGAAGTAAAGATATCAAACTAGAGTAAATATATAGCTCAGTATTCAATGTGCTTCCTGCATAAGCAATGAGGTCCTGAACGTGATCTTGCCGAAGGGAAGTACAGAAAAGTCAGGTGCAAACTGTATGTCTGTAATCCCAATAGGGTGGTCTTGCAGACAGGAAGAATGCCTGGGGCATGCTGTCTAGTGAGTACAGCTAAAGATAAAACGTGACATCTGGAGAGATTGAGACCATGCTTATAATAAAATGAAAACAATTGAGGAAGGTAACCAGTGCGGACTGTGGCCTCAACAAACACATGAACGCACATGCATGAGCAGGCACATAAGCTCACACCACAGCTAAGAACTTAGAATCTTTAAGTTATTTTAAAATTTCAAAGAGGCATCATACAATCAATTATCATAGCTCTTTTCAGATATTTGATGACATATTAAATGTTGATATTCAGCCAGACCTGATTGAAGTTGCTTGGCCACTTGATCAGAACTTCATTGATGAACAAGCCTTTATCTTGTGGACTTTTGGAGACAAACTCTCCTACTTTAACTACAAATGAATCATGATTAGTATATCCCACAAAGTTTTGTATATCATACTTTTCCATAGGATTCTTCTTCTCATCAAAGCATATTTGGTCTCCAGCAGCATTCGTAAACTGAATTTTCCTCAGAAATGGATGAAGCTGAAGAGAGACATCATTTGGATATGAGTGGTGCATACAAATTTCTCACTGAGGTCCCTAAGAGCAATCTTCTTTCTCTCACCCTACACTCGCTTTCTTTTGGTAGAGGCTTCATTTGAGTAATTGTCTCCCCAGTTGTTTCAGTTAGATGAACTTTTCTCCCCATGAAATTAATGTAGGAGTAGCTGAACCTAAATATAAATTTTATATGAAGGGTGGAATACAGCACTGGGTGCAGCATGTTCTCAGTGGTAACAAGGCCTGTGTCTCTCTCCAGCATAAAACAATCCTGATTCTAATTCAAATAAAAAAGTTGGAAACAAAAGAGAAAAAAATGTCTACAACTAGAAACTATCAATGTTTTCAGAGTGAAACTAGAGTAAATATGGAAGCAACACTAAGGCTATGGCTTTATAGGTGCTAAGATATTCATCTTCCTTATGGCAGACAATGAGCACATTGTATGGTTAGTTAGGTACATAGGTATCCCTGTATATATAGAGAGAGTTTCTTCACACAATAATATTAGGAGGAGTTTATGCAAAGTTCCAAATTGTTGAAAATACATAATAATTAGTGCCAGAAAATTAACAACTGAAGATGAGAAAGAGAATTGACTTTGTTGAAAGAGATATTACAGATGGCACACAAGGATTGTGGATCTCAAGCTTAAGAGCAATCTGGTCATATTTACCTCCAAGTATACCCATCCAGAATTTTAATGCAGAGGAATGATATTATCATAAAATGGATGTTTTAACCACATAAACTGAGTAAAATATTAAAAACTGTTGTGGAAAAGTCTTTGAGTTAATTCTAAAAGCAAAATTGAATCTTCATCAATTAGCAGGAATAGACCCAGCAAAAATTGTGATACCTTTTAATAAAGAAAATATTGCTTAATTATGGGCAAAACTGTGCCCTGGCAAAGAGCTTACAGTAATTTCTGGTTAGAGGTTAACAATAAATATTGCAAAAGCAAGAGAATTCAAATTATAAAGAGAGCTAACTGAATCCTTCCTCACACTGTACTAGAAACACCAAGAAGTAGAGCATCTACATTCTATACTGATGCAAATAAATCTGGAAAGGCAGGTTACAAATCAAAAACTTAAGTAAAATGGTCTATATCCTTATAATTTGCCCAAAATCAGAATTATATGCTATTCTCCTGGTATTAATGGATTTTACAGAACCTTTCAACAGTTACTGATTTGCAATATGCATAAAGAGTTGTTTTGTATATTGAAACCACTGAATTTATATCAGGTGATAAACAATTGACTTTATTATTTATTCCGTTAGAAGACATAATCAGGAATAGGAATCATCCCATATGTCTAACACGTATCTGATCCCTTACAGAACTACTAGGCCCTCTAGCACAAAGCAATGATGAAATTGATCAACTATTTAAGAGGAAATGTTCTATAGGCCTCAGAATTTCATAAAAGAAAACCATGTCAATAGTTAACTTTTGAAAAAAGACTTTTCCATCCCATGGCAACAAGCCAAGGAAATTATTAAGAAATGTCCTACTTGGTCTTTATACAACCAAACTCCACTACCAGCAGGAAGTAACCCCAAAGGATACTCAAAGGGATTAAATCTGGCAGATGAATGTTTTACATTTTGTAGGATTTGGAAAATTAAAACATGTACACCACACCATTGATACCTATTCAGGTTTACAATGGTCACCCTCTTTGATTTCAGAGAAGGATTGTTCAGTAAATTACACATTTGCTAGAAGCTATGGCCTTTATGGGTATACCTGTTCAAATAAAGACAGACAATGATCCAGCATATATCCCTAAGAAAATGAAACAATTTTTGCTTATTAAAATATGAAGCATATTATAGGTATACCACACAATCCTACAGGGCAGGGAGTTATAGATAGATGAAATCAAACTCTAAAGGATACTCTAAATAAAAATAAAGGGATAATAAAGACCCTCAGAAATGTGTTGCACAATTCTGTATGAATTTTGAATTTTAGATGAAAATGAGAAAGGAACAACAGATGTGGAGAGACATTGGAAAATAGAAAACAAAACTATGTAATTAAATCAGACAGTATACTTTAAGGATGTGTTGATCTCAGAAAGGAAACCACGATAGATGTTAGGATGGGAGGGGTTTTGCTATTGTTTACAGAGGAGAAGTAAAGCTATGACTGCCATCAAAAGTGATAAAGATTCTATTTGTACAAGAGACACCTCTTACTTAGAAGAGATGACAGTTCCTCAAGCAGCATGGACACTTAATCTGAAATAACCTATAAAACTGACAAATGATTTTATTTGATCAGATATAAATTGCCAAAACACAGCCTCCCCAAAATTAGTGATGGGGAAAGTTTTTGTTTTGCCTTTTCAGGGGAATGAAGTCTAATGAATCTGAAGATTAATGGATAAAATGAGGCATCTGAAGAAAAAGGACAAATCATCAAAAAAATTGTCTCAAGAAAAAGAGTAAATTGGCCTATTGGTATATCACATTCCAACACGATAAAATTACATATATCTTCCCAAATATTTATTTCTGCATTTCCCTACAGATATGCAATTCAAATTGTCTTTTTGTAGTCCCAGTTAAACTAAAGATTAAAGCAGACATTGGAGTTGGGAGTATGGTTCTTTCCTTCTCTAAATCCAAGCAATCTTGTTAAAGTAAAATCCAAAATATTTGTCTCACCTGATACTGGACATAAGAAAAACAAAAATTAAGTGACCATTAGTATTGCTACTAGTCTCATAGTCCTTTGGTTTTATTTGGACTCATTGAAGCTTCTCTTGAGGTATAAATGCTATCTAAAAATGTATCAGATATATATGTATGTATTTTTAATTTTTAGCCATGATATTAATGGTCATATACAGAGTATTAACAAACTTTAGAAAAGGGTGTCATCTGCATTCCTGTACAATATTTTGGTCCTGAGTCTCTAGCAGCTTTCTGTGGTGAACCATGACACAACCTAACAGCCACCTTTGAAGTCTCCAACAGTATGGGGCCCCACCACGATAATTCTACCAGGGCTATGATAATACCACTAAGATGACAAATGCCAACTAAAGATTGGCTTTGGTCTACAAGGTGGCTACTAGCTGAGATGATCCAGCCTCACAGTCACTGCTCAAAACAATTTCAAGGTAGCTAGCTGAGATGATCCAGCCTCATACACTGTTCTAGCCAGAAGTTGAGACAAGCCCTGCACTTTCACATTACACAGACTCTGGACAACAAGTAATAGAGTTACCTCTCCCAGGGCCTGACAATTAACCGTAATTTTTCTTTTTAGGCTCCCCTAAAGATGCCATAACCTACAGAGAGCAGGAAGCAATTTAAGAACATGATATCCACATTCCAAAGGGTTGGAGTGGATGGCTTTTGGTTGTTCATTGGGTTATGGATACTTGTTATTGTTTATGGAATTTGGTTACAAGTAACTATTGATAATGGTCAGGGAAAAATCTAAACAAAGGAGATTAGAATTAGGTTCTTTCTTTGAAAAGAAAAAGGGGAGTACAATATGTTAGGATAAAAAGGAAGCTTATTGAATCTACTTTTTAAAAGCAATGACTAGCTTAAATATTTTACATTGTTAGACTTTTATATATTGTATTCAAATTTTAGAATTGATACAAATTTGAGATTAATTTTGTTAAAACATACTGTTCATATATTTCTAATCTTATTCAAGGTTTGGACAGTATGCTGTGCAAACAGGACAAAAAAGAGAGTGACTGACAAAACTTGCAAAGACAGGGTGGATCAGCCCTTCAAAAATTCTGCTTCATAGAAATGTCTATTGAGTAGTTTAGACCTGAATACCAAATATGGATGACCAACTTTACAGAGGACCCTGGGGTACCTATTAAGGCAGACAGCTGTTTTTGTTATTTCTCACATTTTTTGGAAGTCACTTGCTTGCACTTCTTGCTTCTCAGTTAATATTATTTTCTTCTCAGGTCTCTGAGGGAGTTGAAGACTTGATAGTCATATTTATATTTTTCTTTGTTTACCAGACTCAGAAAAGAAACTCACTAACAGGTGTAAAGTGTAAAATGTTGAAAGATATTACAAGATAATTTGAAGAAATTTAGAATATAAATTGAACTAGGTACAACCATTTGGACTCACTAAGATAGGATTGATAATTGAGTATTTTCTCCAAATTTACAAATGCAAAGGGATTAGACATTATTTATGTGCTTATTTATTGCCTACATACTCTATATATTTATTGTACTTATTTTATATAGTTTTTCTTCTATTAGCTATAATCCTCTTTTTATTTTAGACAAAAAGGGGAAATGTGGTGATATTTTGTTTATGATCTAATAAATCTTGCCTGAAGATAAGAGTGTAAAGTTAACCACAGACATAGAGGACAGATGGTGGTGTTACACACCATTAATCTCAGCAGCCACACTCATTGGCAATAGAAACTGGGTGGTGGTGACACATGCCTTTACTCTCAGCACACTAGAGAGGAAGTATATGGTGGCTGGAGACAAGAGTGCAGTACATTCAGTCTGCAGTCATGCTGAGGAGAGAATTGCCCCATCCTTGATAGAAGTAAGAACTCTCTAGTTGGCTGCTTTGCTTTTCTGACCTTCAGCTTGAACTTCAATATCTGTCACTGGGTTTTTATTAATTGTGTAACATATGTATGTTCACAAACAGTATGTCTGATCCCATCAGAGGGAAGAAGAATGTGTCACATTACTTAAAATAAAATTATAAACAATTGTGAACTACTCTGTGTGTGCTAACAACCAAATTTGGGTCCTCTGAAAGTATAGCAAGTGTTCCTATCTGCTGAGGCATCCTTCCACCATGATTTAATTACATATTTAAATTAATACAATGGGTTTTAATCTTCAACTTCTGAGGTGCAATGTTGCATTGAATAATTAACAACCAATGTACAAGATAAAAACTAACTTATCTAATATCATATCCCTAGAAGTCATGTTCACAAACTGTTT